AGTTTGAGAAAGTTGAGGAAAGTGAAGAAGAGTATGTGGAGACCACTGGGAGATGTTTCGTTTCAACTACTCCAAAATCTCCAATGACTGCTAAGGTGTGTGATCGTCTCCTCTCACTTAATATTCCTTAGAATTCTTATCAAATTGTTTTATGTGAATTTAACGAAAATCGCTCTTACTTGAATGGCATGCTTATTACATGTTTTTCAATGAGAAAGGAGCCATAAATCATTTTACAAAGAGAATGAAAAGAATTCGAACAAAGTTTGGGTTGTGAAAATAGAAAAACCAAATGTCGAAAGTAAAACTGAAGAAAATAGTGATAAATTTTTCTCTAATGATTCTAGTAATCAAAAGGAGAAAGCTCGTGATTTTAAAAATAAAGAAAAATTAGTTTCACAAAAAGTTCCTTTCAAAAATCAAAATGGAAAATTTCAAAATCAAAATGAAAATATTAAGAAATATGATTTGAAAAATGAAATTTCTAGAAAGAAAGCACAAAACAAGGCTTATTGGAATCTACGAAAAAGAAAAGCAAAAACCAAAGTTTTTGAGATACAAAAATAAACAAAATTTTGAAAGAAATTTTCATAAACATCAAAAAATATACTTCAAAACAATTCTCTCAGAGTAATTTGAAAAATGGACAAATGAATGTTGGAAATAAAAGTCATATTTCACCAAATACGAATGTTACTCAAAAAACGACCGAGAAAAAGAGTACAAAAATTTCAAATCCAACTCAACAGAATGAAAAATAAAGTTTTCATCAAAATTATGTTGAGAAAATTGTTCAAAAGATGAAGGATTTTCAAAATACTGAAGAGAAGACACAAAATTGTTTTCAAAACAATGGACAATTGAATTTTACCCAAAATCGAAACGTTTTTCAAAAGGATTCTTATTTTGGTTATCAAAATCGATACCAAAATCGCTTTCAACAATAACCACACAAACCATCATCACATATGAATTTTATAAAAATGATAAATGTTGCAAAGAAAAATGTACCATTCAAACCTAATGGTCCAAATTTTCCTAATCCCGATTTGAAGCAAAAGTCGAAAGTATCTTTTGTCAAAGCCAGAAATGACACGAAAATCCTTAATTATTAGTTTGAGGGAAAAGGAATAAAGTTCAATCGAAAAAGTATTCACAAGAAAAAGTCCAAGAGGCTTATGAGAATGACTTAAATGAGTCTTTGAATAAAGGTACCTCATATCAAGAATCAACGTCGAAAGTGTTTAAATGGAAAGAAGTTAAAGCAACGAAAGTTGATGTTTCTCAAAGAAAGGTGGAAAAATATAAACTCAAAGTTGAAACTTTGACATTGCATGACTACATATCAATGCCTAAAGCTGAAAGTTGACTTAATTGACAAACTTAACACTAAAGTTCGTATTTGGATTTTTGGTTCATCATTGCACATTGTATTCCATGTTAATGTCCAAGGACCCAAAAGGTCTTGGGGGCCTAAATCTCTCTAATTGATTATAGGTACTATATGATGAGCAATATGAAGAAAATTGGTATATCGATAGTGGATGCTTGCATCACATGACTGGGAGGAAAAAGAATTTGAGAGATTTTCATTCGTTGGAGAATGATAGAGTAGTAAATTTTGGAAAAATTCAGAAGTGCAAAGTCACAGGATATGGGAAAGTTACAAATTGAAAGTTAACGGTGAAACGAGTTGCTTCTGTCAAAGGCTTGAAGCATAACCTGATAAGCATATCTCAACTTGTGGTCGAAATAGGAAATTAAGCTCTTCTTGATAAGTAAGGAAGTAAAATTTCAAACAAAGAAACTAAGAAATTTTTATTCAAGTCAAACTAAGAAATTTTTATCGAAAGCCTCTTCAAACCTCAGTTAGTTACGGCTTCAACGTCTTTCTCATCTTAACTTCAAGAATCTAAACAAACTTGTTCTCAATGATCTTGTTCATGGTTTCCCTGTTTTGAATTTTGAAAATGATTCATTATGTGAAGCTTGCGAATAGGGGAAACAACACCGTCAAGTCATCCGATCACAATTGATTCAAAGATCATCAAACCGCTAGAACTTGTTCACATTGACTTGTGTGGTCCTTCGGCTGTTGAGTCTCTCAATAAGAAGAAGTACATACTTGTTATTGTTGATGATTTTTCACTATTTACTTGGGTGTTCTTTCTTAGACAGAAATTAAAAACATCTCAAGTGATGATCGATTTTATCAAAAACATTGAACTAAGTTTGAAAAAGAAAGTTCGTATGATATAGAGCGAAAATGGAACCGAGTTCAAAAATAGAATTTTATATTTGTTTTTTACTAAACTATGAATTTCACAAAACTTTTTGTCTCCTTTCACACTACAACAAAATGGTGTTGTCGAAAGGAGGAATCGTTCCTTGTATGAAGCAACTAGGAAGATGCTTACATATGCGAATTTACCACAATACTTTTGGGCAGAAGCAGTTTCGATAGCTTGATTTATGCAAAATCGTTCTTTTAGTCATCGTCGTTTTAATGTCCACCTTATAAAATCATTAACAAAAGGCAACCTAATGTTGAATTTTTTTCATGTTTTTTGTTGTAGATGTTTCATGATGAATCTCAAGAATAATACTTTCCAAATTTTAGACGAAAGCTAATGAGGGAATTTTCTTTGGCTATTCACACAATTTTGTTGCTTATAGGGTGTTGAACAAAAGGACACAAAAAATGTAGAAACATTCAATCTCACATTTGATGATTATTATATCAAGAGAACTGAACAAGAATTTTCAAAGAATACGATAATTTCAAAAATAAATGAAGAATCTGAGAAAATGCTTACTTTTGATATTGATCTTGATTTAATTTTTGGTATTCCTGATAGGAAAATTGATGTTAAAATCAATATTGAAGATAATCAAGTTCCCAAGGCATCAAAACACTCACTTATGAAGGAAATGAAGCAAATTCATCATCAACCTCAAGAGTCAATGTCGAAAGAACACAAAATTTGTCTGATGATCAAGTGGAGGGGGGCACTTGATTTCTTCACCTCATACGAAAGACAAAATTCGATTTTTCAATCTCAAGTTGAGGGGGAGTTATTGAATTCGTATACAAATGCTGAGGGGGAGCTATTTACTACTCAAGTGGGTGTTGAAGGGGAGCACCAGACAATAAATCCATTGGCTGAAGGGGAGTCAAGTGGAATGAATCAAGATGATGATGATCAAGGTAACAAATTTCTTGATACTAATGACAATATCTCTATTCCATATGAATTATCAGAAACAGAAGAGACATACGAGGATGCACATTTAGATTTTGATCCTGCCTTTCCTCTAATGGGGAAATGGACGAGGGATCATCTAAAAGAACAAATTATTGATGATCCAAGTTTGAGTTTTCTAACACAAGCATAAATTCGAGCCAAAAATGAGGTTCTAAATGTTCATTAGGAATTATGTATGTTTAATGTCTTTATTTCGAAAATTGAACCAAAAACAGTTAAGAAGGCATTATAACATCCCGATTGGGTTGTTGCAATGTAGTCTAAGTTAGTTGAATTTGAACGAAACAAGGTTTGAAGGTTAATTCCTAAACCTGATGATGTTTTGATTGTTGGTCTTAAATGGGTTTTTAAATGTAAAATAGACAAAGAAGGAAATATTGTTCGAAATAAAGCTAGATTATTCATAAAAGGTTATTGTCAACAAGAGGGAACTTTGATAATGAAGAAACCTTCACCTTTGTCGCACGACTTGAGGTTGCACAAATTTTGATGGCTTGTGTAGCCCATAAGGATTTCGATGTCTACCAGATGGATGTAAAGTGTGCATTCCGTAATGGTGTTCTTGAAGAGACGGTATATGTCGAACAGCCACCCGGATTCATCGATGATAATTATCCTGACCATTACAATATCCTTGACAAGGCAATTTATGGGTTAAAACAAGCACCTCATGCTTGGTATGCCAATTATTATTACAACGTTCTCTACCATAGAATTCGGCCTTCAGGGTCAACTCGGCGGCTTCTATTAGGAAGGCGGCGCAAAGGAGGCTCGAGGGCTTGTTAAGGAAGGCGGAAAGGGCCGACTCAGGGGGGAAAACGAAAGACCTTTTCTGGTCCCCCCTGAGTCGGGGGGTGCTTGTAGGAGGGTGTGCTACGACGAAACAAGGGAATGAAAGGCCGCTTTGAGTTGGATGCTCTGTACCCTCCCCACAATGATGGCTCTGTTGTCTTGGGGAGGGTTGAAGCTTGGCCTACGCATTGCAGCCACAACATTACTGGGCAAACTAGTATAGATTTGTGAAACTCCGGATCCCCCTAGTTGAAGACTAACGCCCATATTTAGAACCATCTAAAATAACATCTATGATGGATCCATTACGACTATCTTATCCCAGAAGACCATCACTCAGGTTTCACTGATCGAGCAAAAAAATTATTGAAATTAGATTACGATTACAAAGGCTAAAAATAATCCAAGTTTCTACGTAATCAAAAAGAGCCTAAGGATTAACCGAATCTAAGCACATACTAAGCCCAATAAGACACATTGGCCTAGATATACATGAGGCCAACTGAAAAACAGGTATACACATCAAATAAACTAGGATGTAACATAGGATTAGGCAAAAAGGAACATAACCTCCGAAACGATATACTCGTCTGTCTAGAAAGCAACCCTGCCCACATCGAAGACAAGTCTGGCATCGGATGTATATAGTGTTTGAATAAGTCTGTCATTGGTGGGAAAAGAGTGAGCTCAATCTGTCTTTGGTGGCGCTCATGTTGAGCTCCAGTGAATTTGAAACTGGTGATGTAGCTACTGAAGCTTTCTTTGTGGTAGTAGTAATGGTTCTGGCGCCATGTACCACCAGATCAAAAATCCAATCATAGCGAACAAAGCAAATGTATCTTCTGCTAGTACAAGTGTTTCCTCTAGTGGGAAGCTCTTAATTCGTGATGCCTCTTCTTTCTAGGCTATCAACAAGACAAAGTAGCCTCTCGGGCGAGGGACTTATTTCCTTGCTTTGCTTGCATCCCTTGTTGGAAGTAAAGAAAATTGCTGATCTCCTTTTGGTGCACATTCTGTGAGAATAAAATCCTGGATTTGGAGGCCCCCCGACACTTCACAAAAGTTATCTAGTATAGCTTTCACAGTACCCACTTGTTCCATGTATGCTTCAGCAAATAAGATGAAGTCATTAGCAAAAAACAGATGGATATGGTCGTACCTTTTTTATGCAGCCTAAAAGGTAGCCAACTACCTAGATCAACCTCACTTTGTATCAGATGACCCAACCGCTCAACAGCCAGTACAAAGAGGTATGGTGATAACGGGTCCCCTTGTCTGACACCACGTGAAGGAACAAAATCATTAGCTATAATACCATTCCACAAGAGATTCATCCACGGGTGACAGATTGTATGTGTTCAGGGAGCTGCAACTCCTTCAAGCAATGGAAGATCAAACTCCACAAAAAATGGAGAGAGGAATGTCTTTTTTGAATCCGACATCGGGACTGACTTTTGTTGCGGAGCTCACTGATTTTGGAGTAATGCTTGCAGCTTGCTGCTTTTTGTTCAAGCGGAGATCGCTGTCTACTCCACGAATCGCCACAACTTTGCCTACGCCACTTGTATATAGAAAAAAATAGCGCCCAAGATTTCCCCTTCGCGTAGTTCATTGAACCTTCCAACTTCACTCCGTGGCATGTGCTAAAGAAGCGTGTCTTAACTAATTCCTTTGAACTCATTTCACCTATTCTACCTCTTGATATCTCCTCACCTTGCACCTTTTCTTTCTTTTCCTCATCCCATGATCCTTTCCCATGTCGTGGAAGTGAGCTCCTTCGCCGCTCCTTCATTCTTCATAACGACTATAACCAAGCTGCCAACCAATAAAGCAAGCACCTTCATGGATTGAGATCGTGGAAGCTCCGTTAGCACCTTAAGGCTGTCTTTATCCTGAGAACCCTCGGGAATATTCAGAGACTCGGCTAATGCTTCTAGGCCCACATTTAGAGACAGACCAAGCACCCCTCTTACCCACTCACTATCTAATAAACTGGATTGGCTTATTATCCGAATGAGATCGGAAAGAGAGGAGGTAGCCCAAATCTTCCAATAGGCGCATACGAAAGGTTCTGAAAGAATTGAAAAAGCTCTGAAAAATAAACAACCCGACCTGAGGAACTACCAACAACGGAAGAACTAGCAACACTGGGAGAAACCGTTTCTAACCTCAGCTTCACCCCTTTCCTAGGGATTCTTTCTTTGATGATATGCCCTCAAGCGCAAGAATCAAAGCAGGGCAGGATCGAAGAGCTTAGACCACAAGCAAGCGAGAAGGAATCCCTCAAAGGAACTGAGGCAAGGTCTTTCCAATGCGCGCTAAGACAACCACTCATGTCTACTTATAATGCGTACGGACCAGATCTCTCTCCTGGGAACCCATTCCCTAGTAAAGAGGTACTGACCATTGGTTCTATCGTGCCCCAGTTAACAAGAGCCTCAGATAGACTAAGGATCTTAGGTGAGACCTAGAGTGCAGCCAACTAAACGCCAAAGAAATGTAACTCTAACCAATTTTTTAAAAATCCCAAAATTTAAGCAAGGATCATTAGATCCCACTTTGTTACGTAATAAAGTAGGGGATCATCTAATGCTCGTTCAAATTAATATCAATGACATTATATATGGTTCAACTGATCCTTCATTGTCAAAGGAGTTTGAGGAGCTAATGAAGAGTAGATTAGAAATGAGCATGATAGGGAAAATATATCATTTCTTGGGTTTAAATATTCGTCAAAGTAAGGAAGTAATTTTCATCAATCAATAAAATTACAAAAGAAACCTACTTAAATGAGTTGGAATGACGAGTTACATGAAAGCTAAAGTTCCCATGGCAGTCGGCACTCGCTTAGGTCCTTTGTTGGATAACCCTTATGTTGATATCAAAACATATAGAAGCATTATCGGTTCGCTTTTGTACTTAACTGCATGTCGACCAGATATAATGTTTTCTATGTGTAATTGTTCCATGTATTAAGAAAATCCAAGTGAACCTCATTTTATTGTAGTGAAAAATGTACTTCGCTATCCACATGGCACAAAGATTATAGGACTGTGGTATCTGTTGAAAACAAGATTCTTTATTCAAGCTTTCTCAGATGCGGATCTAGGGGGTTGTGAATTAGATCGAAAGAGCACCACCGGAGGATGACAATTCCTCGATGAGAAACTTGGGATTTTTCAGTCGAAAAAGCAGACATGTGTATCAATTTTGACAGCTGAGGCTGAATTCATTGTTGTTGCAACATTTACATCTCAAGTGATCTGGATCCAAAGCCAACTATATGACTATGCGATTAACATGAAGAAAATTCCATTATAATCCGATTCTCAAAGTGTAATTCGCATATGTCATAATCTAGTTCAACATTCAAAAAAAAAATATATTGCTCTTCGTTACCACTTCATCAAAGATCATGTTGAAGATGGGTATATTGAAGTTCATTTTGTTAAAACAACTTATCAGCCCTGCTGATATTTTTACAAAACCTTTGGACGAAAAAACATCCTTAAGAACTTTAAATGGGTTAGGAATGATGGAATCTTGTTATGTTCCTCATTCTACATAGTTGTTCTTGGATTTGATATATAAATGTGGAGGACTTACTTTCGATTGTTGGCTTAACTTTCATTTGTTGATCTAACTTTTGTTAATTGGAATAATTTTCGTTTGTTTTACTAACTTTCATTACTTGTAGAATTTTTGTTTAGCGGTTATAGTTCCCATTAAGCGTTCATATGCATTCACATTTGTTCATATCCAAAAATATTTTCTTATTTTTGTCTTTTCTTTATAAAATTAAAAAAATTTAAAAAAAGGTTTTTTATTTTTGTTTTTCCTTTACAAAATCAAAATTCCAAAAATATTTTCAGTATTTTTGAAATTTATTTTGGAACAACTGAAAAACATAAAAATATTTTCCTTATTTATATATATATATATATATATATATATATATGAGTAATCTACACGAATGATCCCTATGGTTTGGGGTAATTTACGCGTTTGGTCCCTGTCTTATCCAAAAAGACTATTATTTAAATAGGGAAAAATGATAGGATGAGTCAAGTAAGGTGAAGGGGGTGGGTTTGGGGGTGTGCTTATTTAAATAAATTAAAAAATCAAGGGCAAAATAGATTTTTTAGGTAAGACAGGAACCAAACGCGTAACAAAAACAAACCGTAGGGACCTTCCGAGTTAAAAAAAATATATAGGGACTAAAAACACAAATTATCCTAAACCATAGGGACCATTCATGTAATTTACTCTCTCTCTCTCTCTCTATATATATATATATATATATATATATATATATATATATATATATATATAGGGTGGGGGGAGAGATCATTGTTACAACATGTTGCACTGCCGCATGCCAAATGAGAAGATATATACAGGGAACTAGTATGATATGAAAGTTTTGTACTAGTTAAGTATCCTTAGAAACATGTTACAACATGTTGTCCACAAGCCTCATAGACTCTTTTTGTACAAAACCTTAATGAAAATTTTCATACAGAATTTTCTTTCCAATTAGGCTATATTCACATTAGTCGACGAGTTACTTTTCTCTTCTTATATTGTGTAAAGAGATTTATGATATGTCCAATTTTAAACAAATGTACATTGATCTTTCACATCCAATCTTTTTCACCCAAAATTTATAACACAATCACATACAATGACACATGCCCAAGCCATTTCTGGTCGAAACCAACCAGGATATAGGTATATCAGAAGTTTGTGTTTATGATCCTAAACCATTTTTCTGTGATGAAGGTGAAACCCAACAAACCTCAACTTAATGAATTGATTGTGAACATTTTATGTTCAAGATTTCACAAAACATTTGTTTCACTGTACCACTTTCGATGTTCAAAATCTCATTTCATTTCCATTGTGTGATCTAAATGAAATGTACTCATCCCAAGTCATTTCTTCCTAATAGATCCAGTTTTTCAATTTTCATGAAATAAGATTTTCGTTTCAACATTTTTATCTATCTTTCGTTAGTTCAAAATTTCCAAAGCTTACTTGTTAATTGTTTTTGTCGGTTAACGATTTTGATTAATGGTTAATATTGGTTAACCATAATGTTCAACATAATATAAATGGTGAAAGTATATTGGCATAAGAAATGAAAAGATAATACAAAATGGTCATCAACACCAATGTTTGTAACCTAGGTTATAGTAATAGAATAAAATGTGTATGTTTGATACTCAGAGTGAGATAACAGATAATCACATTCAAAATAAAAAACATTCAATAAAAATATAAAACATTAAACAATATTGACATTAATAATTTCATATATTGATAATAGATATTAACATTAAAATAAAGTCAAATATTCATACACATTCAATACGGTTAAATAAAAAACCTATAAAATAAAATAGTCAAACATTCATATTATGTGTTATCTGGATAAAAAAAAAAGTCAATCACACATATACATTCAATGTGATTACGTCAAAAACAGTAAATAAAAAAGCCAAAAAAACAAAAAAAAACATTCTTAATATAGCACAAAGTCAAGAAGAATTAAAAACTTAACCTACCTAGAAGTCTTAATTATAAAGTGAAAAAATCCTTCATACATGACTATAAAGCCAAAGTTATCTTCGATTATGATTAACGATATGAGAAACCTCCGATTAGGATTTTGAGTGTGAAGATTAAACTAATTGTGAAGAATGTTTAAAAATTGTAGAATTAGCCGATTATAAATTACAACATTAATCAATAATATAACACAATGCATGATTGGAAGATTGTGTGTGTCTGCATGATCAACCTTTGATGGTTTTTTTGATTGTTTGTTCGTCTCCTGATAAGTGAGGATTAATGAATTATATTTTTTGAAAATGTAACGAGTCTTAAATAAGTTTGACTATATTATTTTATATATAATCTATAATTTTTATATATTAAAATATAAAGTTAGAGGTTCGTTTAATAATAATGGTTCGGTTAACCTACAAAACCATAACTGAATTGTTAGTTATCGGTTAACAAAAATTGGAAATTGAACCAACAATTTTTCAAATGGTTCGGTTATATCAGTTAATTTGGTTTTGGTTTGATTTTTCAGTTATTATGCTCACTCCTTATCCTTACCATAAGTGAATGAGCACAGCCTCCATATTGATGAAGTTTCTTGATTGTTTTCGAAACTAATGGTCGTACAATTTTGTTGGGAGAAGCAAAAATTTGTTAGATGCGATGGTTCAATATTTTCACAAGACTCGAGGCAAACAATGATCATCACTTTTACATGTGGCAGTTCTTCTGTGGTGATGGTTCAGTAACCTACTTTCCATGTAGCATTATATGTTTGGGCAACGTTTAAATTCAAATTTTACACCAATTATTTAAGGATTTTGATCATTCCACTTACAACTTTATGGTTCCAAAAATCACATAAAATCCCTAACTGTTCATCGTAAATTCTCTCGCACAATTGTCTCTTACTTTCTTACAATGGCTGCTGAACAACATGTTGTTGATCAATTCAACACTAATGATGAAGAAACTTCACAACCAACAATGAAGATTCAACAAAACAATCTCTGGTTTTATCTTACAATCAATGTGTATCCTAAAAACTACAAATGTTAGTGCAATTATTGAACAATCTGTTCTTGCTTTTGTATTATCATCTTTGTTCGCTATTTCAATGTAATGGTTGTCATTGGCTACTTCCACTATTTTTTACAACAAAACAACCAAAATTGTTATGTTCCAGTTGATGTACAACAAGACAAAGAAATTCAAACAGAAGGAATTTTCTCACATCCTGAAGTTACCTTCTACGGCTACGTTTTATGAAGTCACTAGTGATCAATTAATCCATATGTTCAATGAGATGGGTCATCAACTTACTATTTCGGCTATGAGTCACTTCAGGAATTCCAATCTACCAAGTGTTTGGAGTTTTTTCTTTGGAATTACTCTATGAAGTTTGACAGGAAGAAGTTTAGGGTTGGATAAAGAAAAGCTTGAGGTGTATTCAATTACGGATGGGTTGTATTATGGGTTAAATGTTGATCATGCATCAATTTGGGAATTCAATTTCTTATTCTAAGACGAAAACTGGATTTTTGTGTTCTAGGTTTTGTGGCTTGATTTTGAAGGAAGTATATACATAAGAAGGTATTCAAATTCCTTCTTATGTTGATGTTGCTAAATTTTCTCCAATGACCATTCCTAAGAATATTGTTGATGATGTTATAGTTTTTCCAATGGTTGCTCGAATTCCCGATTCGATGCTTAACTTAGTGAATCCTACTAGTTAGTTGTTGATTTCATATCGAGCTTTTATGGACTATAATCCAACATGTATTCTTCAACTAAGTATTACTTCTCATGATGCAGAAGGGTCATCTAAAGTATCAAAACCAAAGAAAAATAAGGAGCCAATTGTGAAACTTAAGCCAGTTGCAGAAGAAGTGGTGAAGCAAACAGTACCCATAAAGATAAGAAAGGGGGTACTGAAGAGAACGAAGAAAATTACAACTAAGAAATAGTATGAGTCTCATTCCATGAAACCAACAAAAAAGCCAGTAGAGACACAAGCAGATAAATTTGCTAAGGGGAATCCTACTCCTGTTGTAGAAACAATAACACAAGAACGAGAAACTATTGTTAAAAAAGGGGTTTCAAAGAAGGTTAAGAAGTTGCAAATTACAAGGAGGGGTGTTTTGATTCGAGAGGTTTCGCCTCCTGGTTCTCCAACATCCAAAAAGAGACAAGCTTTAGATGTTGCGCAAAAGTTGAATAAGTGAAAGCCTACTCTTGCTGAGCGTAAAATGGAGAATGTTATTGTGGAGTCTGATCATGATAACAATGGAACAAATACTGATATTGGTGGTTCATTTCATACTTCACCAATGAAGGATATCTCTATCAAATCGGCTTTTAATGAGGCATGTATTCCTGATATCAATGCACACATATATAATATGGATGTAAACATCAATTCTGGTGAACAACCAAATACATCAATCCCTTAGAAGACGAAAGTCACACCACCCAGGGTTTTGCATACTGAGTCTGTTATGGATGAGGGAGAAATTCCAAACATCATTGTGAACTTATCTGATAAGGAAAAAAAATGTTAAAATTAGTGAAGGGAGCTCCAAATTTGAAACTTCAACAATTGTTACTTCGATTGCATTACTACCACCACAAACATTTATCATTCCACCTACATCAACTACTCCATTCTCTCCTACTTTTGATATTATGATGCAAGAGCCAATCACTACCTTATTCTCATCTCAATTCACTGAGTCTAAGAATTCTATTTCTGAAGATGAAGCATATAATAATGATATGATGGTTTCGTTTGTCGAGATGCAGTTTAATCCTGAAGAAGATGATGTGTTAGATGAAGAATCATGTCTGGTAAAAAAATTCAAAATTATTAACTCCAAGATGAATTGTATTCTTTAATTCTTGAGTGATACTACTAGGAAAACCTCTGTTAGTAGTGTTGAGGTTGAGTACCTTTTAAAGTCTCAAGAGTCTCGTATGCGAACTCTTATTGAAGATGTTTACAAAAGGATTGATGAGAACTTGAAAAATAACTCACGTACTTCTAATTTTGAAATATCGAAATTACATGATGTTTCGAATGAATTTCATGAACTTTTTGAGAAGATGGTGTCTAGTTCACAAGAATATTTTGAGTTGAAGCTTAAGGAGTTGAATGATTTTCTTTGAATTTGAAAGTTGATGTACTAGAGAATGCTACAACTCGATTGGTAGAAGACCTTACAGCCTTTAACAAAGATTACTATCATAATCTCAAGGTCAAGTCTGAAGATGATTTAAATTTGTTGAGAATATTGAAAATACTATTTTTTTGATTTCAAGAGCCATTGGCGAAAGTTGATTTTTCATCTCAATCTTCAAATTCATCAGACTCCATTTTGATCATGATCTCAACTATTTAGTAAATGTTTAAAACTGAGTTGGTTCCCATAGTCAATTTAGTTCTTTGACTACCAACAAATGCTCCACGTCATGCACATGTCACACAAGGGGGGGGGGGGAGTTAGTTCTTCAAAGGAATCAGTCAAAGATCAAGGTTTTGTTGTAGGATTGATTTTATTGATGCAAATCCCAACATCCATTCCAATGAAGCCAGTTGTCTCATCTTCAACAATGAATCCTTCTCTAGAAAATGTTGACTTGTTGAAAGTTCAAAAGAAAGGGATTTTGATAAATGATGGAGGTGGATGTTCAAGTTCTTTAAATTTCAAGTCAATTTCAAATGTTTATCCTAAAGATAAAGGGAAAAGGGTTCAAGTGGAACAATCTGCAGAGGAGAAGAAGAGATTGAAATAGAAAGATAAAGGTAAATAAACAACATTCTTAATCAAAGAGTGAATGATCCACCATGCTTGAATAAGGGTGATCCTAATAAACATTGGTGTTATGAAATGATTGCGATTTTTGTACTTAATAAACCATATGAAGTCATGAAGAAGCCAAAGAAAAGTTACGACATTGAAGACTCCAACTTCAATCAACTTGATTTCCGAATCAATCATCTGATGTTCACTTTCACTCAGTTCAAACTAGCTGAGAATTTCAAAGAAAAAGATGAATACAAGAGATTGAAGATTCACTTTCATACAGTCTTGGGAAAAAGTGAAGAGGAGGTTTTGTCCTTAGTGAAGATTGTTGGAGTTATGTCAGTTGTGCCTGATGTTTTTTTTTCAAAGGGTTATTATAGGATTTTCATTATTATGTTGTGAGGGAAAATAATGTGGCATTTGGATTCACTATTGTAGACATTCCATTGATGAATACGAATAATCTCATCATTGTTTCAAAAAATTTATGCAATGTAGATGCTTCATAAGTTGATGAGGATAATAAAAATGCATTTCTTCTTGGATATGCTCATATCAAGGCCTTTCTTGATTGCTACTATGATTATTTGGCAATCACTAACATAGATCTTGCCATGGAAATCAATAAAACTTCAAAGGTGCCTCCATCATTGTTAAAGAAGAAGTTAAATATTAACAAATTTGAAGATGGATAAATTATTCACAAACCATTTGGGGTTGTTTTCAAGGGAAGAACAAGGGAAAATTGATGAAATTCCTCTTCCAAATGAATGACATTGCAAGTGATTAAAATAGAAAGACAAAGGTAAATAAATGACATTCTTAATCAAAGAGTAAATGATCCACTAGGCTTGAAGAAGGGTGATCCTAATAAACATTGCTGTTATGAAATGATAGAGATTTTTGTACTCGATAAGACAGACAAATTTATGAAGAAGCCAAAGAAAAGTTACAAAATTAAAGACTCTAACTTCAATCAACTTGATTTCCCAATCAATCATCTGATGTTCACTTTTACTCAGTTCAAAATAGCTGAGAATTTAAAAGAAAAAGATGAATACAAGAGATTGAAGATTCGCTTTCATGCAGTCTTTGGAAAAAGTGAAGAGGAGGTTTTGTCATTAGTGATGATTGTTAGATTTATGTCAATTGTGCATGATGTTTTGTTCGAAGGGTTGTTAAAGAATTTTCGTTTATTCTGTTGTGAGGGCTAATAATATGGCATTCGAATTCATAATTGCAGACTTTTAATTGATGAATCTTAATGATCCCATCATTGTGTTGAAGATTTTATGCAATCTAGATGCTTAGCAATTTGCTGAGGACATAAGAATGCATTTGCTCTTGGATATGATCATATCTTCAGGATTGCTACAACGATTATTTGGCAATTAGTGACATAGATCTTGCCATAACAATCAGTAAAATTTCAAAGGTGCCTCAATCTTTGTGAAAATGGAAGTTGAATATTGACATATTTGAAGATGGAGAAATTATTCACAAACCATTTGGGGTTGTTTTTCAAAGGAAGAACAAGAAGGGAAAATTGATGAAATTCCTTTTCGAAGTGAATGAAATTGATAGATACACAAACTCTCATTTTTTGAACATTTTGCTCCATATCAATAACTGTAAGAAGAATGACAATGAATAAAAGGTGGAGATTCGAAAGATCATTCTTTGGGAAATGGAGATAAGGAAGGAGTTGCTTCAGATGATGAAGACATTAACTTGAAGATTTTGACTATTCTCACGAAGAGGGAGAATGTAGAGTCGAAAGTAGTTGTGAGTAGTAGAATGTTTCTAAACAAATCTTATTTAAATCTTGGTGTTCTTTAATGCTTTCTTTGATTCGATTGATTCAAACACATTTTCAAACACTCTTCAGCCTCCAAAATCATTCAACTTGACAGAGAACTTCATAATATCTCTTGGTAATTCCTCTATCATAGAATATTGCAACAAGATAAATTCTATATTGGTCATTTGAAGCATATAGATGCTGAGGTTTCTAAAGCTAATCTCATTGCTTATATGATTAATGGTGTGTCAAAAAAATTTAGTTACATAACGATTAATATATGTCGTCGTGGCCCTCCCCCCCCCCCTCTCCCATAACTAAGGAGATCGAACAAACGGTGTCGTTGATGGCCAAGAAGCTCTGGGGAACAATAAGAGTACTTTTCCACATAATGAAAATAGGCTTATCAAAAAATATACCATTGCGCGAATTCCACATGCTAAAAAGATCAACCAAGATCGCCGGAAAGGCTATCAGAAACCCCTTCTTAAACACCAAACACTCTCATCCGCCCTCACATGCTGCCCGACCAACATTTGTGCCACTTTATCTCTCCTCGTTAATATGAATTCAATTGTAGTGACACCCCTCTTTTTCATCCTAAACTTAAAACAATCGATACGGTGGTCGATTTAGCATTATTAATGGTGGCGTTTATTTTCCTCAAGACGGATTCACACCTAGTGGCGAATAGCAAGGACAAGGAGAAGGGATGAATAGGATTACAGTTGGTTTCAAGTGAATCAACCCAATAATGGATCTTCTCAACATGGCATGTTACCAACTCCATATACAACTGGGCCAGACAGCATCAAATTCTTCACAATTTGACCTAACAGCAACATCGGTTTTTCAGTTCCTCGCAGCCCAACAACAACAACCCATACACTCAACAACAAGCATAACCAGCCCAATCGCAAATTCATGAGCTCACTACACTCCTTCAAATGTTCAACACGATGTCATTAAATAATTTGGGTCACACATATTAGTATATGGACATCGGTGACACCTCTCATCTTCACTCAAATGCAGGTATCCTAAAGTCTATTTTTGATAAACAATAGTATGTTTTCATCATCTGTATTAGTTGGATATGGATCCAAAATACCTATAGCTAAAATGGAACACACCACTCTTCCGCTTCCAAATCCTTACCGTACATTAAATCTAAAAAATCTTTTAATTACTCTTTCCATTATCAAAAATCTTATTTATGTTCGTCGTTCCGTTTGTGAAAATAATTGTTCGATTGAATTTGACTCTTTTGGACTTTTTGTGAAGGATTACGACACCAAACAGTTTCTCATTTTATATGACAACACTGGTGACTTTTATCCAGTTACTAATCCAACTACTCAAGCTCTCGTCTCCATTGTTCCCTCACTTTGGCATTAATGTCTTGGTTTTCCCGGTCATCATATTTTAAAGCATTTAGTTAATAAAAATTTTGTTTCTTGTTTGTCTATTAAAGACTCTACTTTATGGCATGCATCTGAAATGGGAAAACATGTTAAGTTGCCATTTAGTTTGTCTACTTTTGTTTCATAATTCACTTTTAAATTAATTAATTCTGATGTTTAGACATTGCCAATTAAAAGTTTAAGTGGAATTAAGTACTATATCATTTTTCTTGATGATTATTATCAGTTTGTACAGGTTTATCCCATTTGTTCCAAATCTGGTTTTTTGACAAGTTTGTGGATTTCTGGTCATTTGTCAATAAATAATTTGAAACTGATATCAAAACTTTTTAGTGTGACAATGGAGATGAGTATAACAACAACAAATTTCATAATAATTTTTCTCAAAATGTCATTAAAGTTCATTTCTCGTGCGCTTACACTTCTCAACAGAATGGTAAATCTAAATGTATGCTTCGTATTCTAAACCACGCCATTAGCACCCTCCTATTTCATGCTAGGCTTGATCCCACCTTCTGGAAAAAATCTTTTCACATGGTGTCTCGTCTTCTTAGCATCCTTCCCTCCACCACGCTTGAAAATGACACCCTTTTTTCACAAACTTTACAATAAAACACCAACCTATGATCACTTTCGGGTTTTTGGTTGCCTTTGCTTTTCTGCACATCAATGCTCTTCATAAGCTTTCCTCGAGATACACCCCTTGCATCTTTCTTGGTTACCCTACCAATCATAAAGGCCATCGTTTTCTTAATCTTAAGACAAGCCAAATCATCATCTCTCTTAATGTGGTGTTTGACAAAATTGTCTTTCCTTTTGGATCCATGACACCAAATAAAGCCTCGTCTTATTCCTTTCTTGACAATTCTGAAATACATCACTCTTTTGCATCTACTTTGGACCTGTCTTGCTTTATTCATGGACGGTGTTCCTCATGGGTCCTCCGCTGATCTAACCACTAGCACTTTTACTCAACCCTCCTTACCCGATAGCCCTCTTCCGTCTACATCTTCATCTTCTGATGTCTCTACCGATCTAAGCTCACCTCATCTTGGCTCTCATTAGCTGAGTTCAACTACTTCAAGTCCTCCTTACTCTACTAACACTTCTATATTTGTTCATTCTAATTTTCCGGTC